ACTGCCTCACTTAGCTTCACACGTAGACTATAACCTCCTTAGAGGCGAACCTGCACACAATAAGTATATGCTGATTAATCAGGTGATTGATTGATAAAATAAAAGTTAATTGAAAGAACTGGAAGAGTGTTCCCCTTATTCAATATTCATAAAGATAACAGCTCATTGGAGAGATTCCCAAATCTATAGGGTGTCTCCAAAGTAAGCCTAGCCTCTCCACCGTTCCCTAAATCCTAGAAGCTCCCCTCCTGCACAAACACTATTGGGTAGCCCTGGGCCAAATAGGCTCTACTAGAAAACCAGATCAGTCCAGGTTACAGTAAGTAAGACAGCTGGATTAATTTGTGACATTTCTGCCAAGACGGGCCTAGTGACATTGTAGTTGATGGAGAGTGGTGGAAGAGGTGTGAAGAAAAGAACAGCAAAATGGAGACAGAGAATTAGTCCCAAGTTATTCAAACCAACCCGCGGAGTTACCGAGTAATAAACTGACTAGAGTAAGTGACAAAGACAAAATGAGTTCAGCTACTTTATCTGTTTAATTTCCACAAACATCTTGGTAGCATGTTTATTTTTAAAATTTTTTATTTACAGCACCAATGAACATCTTTCACTTTTAAAGTGTGCGTATGTGCACACATTACTGGAGGATTTCACAGGCAATTAGTAATGAGTTATTTAAATTTTATATCTCAGAGTTTTAATAATTCCCCCAAATGTGACAATTATACCTTGGCAAAATCGCCTGTGAGGAGAGAAGGAAGACTTTAAGCAACAAAACTCCAAAATACTGTAACATAACTTCAGACCTCTAGGAAGGTCTTGGAAATTACCCCCTTGAAAATTATCATCCTTTTTGGACTATTCCCATTAGAATTCAGAGCAGGTTCAGTGTCTCTGGCCTGGCTCTGAACCAAGAGGAGAGAGTTGATCCATCTAGCAACATTCAAGAGAGTTCCATGTAAGCAAAGTGTCCAGAATAAAATACCTGAAAAGAGATCTCCAGGAAATGACACATGTGCATTAGCTAAATTCCAAATTCGACGATCATTTAGATTACAGTGAGGAGTATGGTCTGATGCAAATTCCATTTGAGCAGCTAGTTTCCTGATTCAATAATATCATTCCTTCTTCATTCCTGTGGCTATTCACGTGCAAACACACTCAGAAGCACGAATAGGTGACAGTCTACCTGGTGAATGACACAGCTGTAGAACAGGTATGCAGTCGATGATCATTAGTCAATCTAAATTCGAAACCCAAATCAGGTTGCGTTTCCTCATTTTTTTCTAATCCAGTCTGTTTTTGTAGTCTTTAATCACAAGAGTGTGAAGATCTATTTAAAAGCAGGATAATTTAAAAGCAGGAAATGTATTTTGTCCTCTTGAAAAAAATGGATACGATTTAGCAAAGGATTAAGTTAGACACACACAATAAAGAATTGTCTTAACATCTGAATTTGTCATTACCACTAAGATGAGCTTTGTCGATAACAAGAAACATTATCACGTTTAAAACTGGTGGAGAATGAAACACCTTAACCCGAAGAACCAATTGTGCTGACATTATCTGGCCTCGTCATATAATGGGTTCACCAAACTGAAGATATTCATGAGTTGAAGAGATCATCACAGACTAGTGCCTGCAATTGCTTTTTTCTTCATTTCATTCAGTATTATGACTGAGCTGTATCATCAGAGTTGTAAGGGCTTTTTTTTACAAATTATATTTTTTCTTTAAATGCCCAAAGTTCCTATGTGGAAACAACTGTAATTTTTATGAATAGTTTGATCTTGCCTTTAAAAATATTTTTTTAAAGAGGGAATTCTGCAGAATTGATTCTATTAAAAGGATTATTGCGCTCTGGAAGAGCTTTCATCAACAATATCCCTCAACTACCCTTAGGTTAAGTCAGTGGTTCAGAACTAGAGGCAAATTGGCCCCCACCGGACGTGTGGCAGACAAAAATGTGTTCAGTGCCTGGAGACATTTTTGGTTGTCACAACTTGTGGGGATAAAGCCAACGGGTAAAGGCCAGAGATGCTGCTAAAAATCCTGCAAGGCACAGGACAGCCCCACCCAACAAGGAATTATCCAGTTCAAAAATATCAATAATGCGAAGATTAGGAAAGAATAACAAAAGCTGCCTTGTTATAATCCAGAATCTACGTCAGGGATTTCTTTGACATTCAAAGCACCCATTCCTTTTGAACTTTGGGGTTCCTGATTTACCCGCGCTACAGTTTGGCCAGCTGGTGGCAAAAAACAAAAACGTAACTAAATATGGAGAGTATTTTTAATTCTTCCTAAACAATGTCTCACTATTTTATTGATATTTTATAAAAAAACAGAGGGATAATATTTTTTCCTGTCAACACTGGAGCCTGGTAGCCCTATGGTTATTCATAATGGCCAAATATAATGAGAAAAAGTTAAGCTCTATTTTCATAAACAAAGCTGAAAGTTGGAAAATTAAAGCAGACATAGGACTTCCTATAGCTGGTGCTGAAATAATGTGGAAAGGACTGTTTATCAAAATGGAAGGACAGAAGGCAGTGATAAATGTTATCCTGTGTCCTCCAGATGAGCATGCAGGATGGCTGGTCCTGACCCGATGCACGGAGGATGCCCTAGACTTTTTAAAAATTGTTTTCATTTCTTAAAAAAAAAGAGAATTTTCTGGAATTAACCTAAGCACACAGAAACACAAACTGAGTGACAGTATTTTTCTCATCTCAGAGAAAGACAGTGTTGTTTAAATCCACTGTTCATCAGACACTACTGCCACTGAGCAGGGCTGATTCAAAGGGCAAAAGAAAACTCTTGCATTTCCTTGGAGGAATTAAAATGCAAAACAACTAAAGGGAGAGTAAAACCCAAATAAAAATACCATCCAGCAGGCATCACGGTGCCCGAGTGGAAAATGAGACCACCTAATCCAATAAAAATACTGCACTTAATTAGCTTGTTTGGACATTATTAAATGCACTCAGCCAAACTGTGTTAAAAAGGTATTATCTCACACTGACTCTACTCCATAATTTGGTATGTTCATAAATGTCCATAAAGAAATTTTTCTGAGGTTAGATTTAATTATATTGGAATTAAGTGTCTTTTCCTTTCCAGAAAAATACTTTTGAGATTAAAGAACACTATTTGGATGTAAACTAACATGTGTTCCTTTAGCCAGTTGCTCAAAAACTATAAAATTATAATTTTTCCTTTTTAACAGAAGCAGAATGACGTGAAATCAAATGAGACTTTCAGATTTGGAAGTGAGAGACAAATGTCGTCTTTGGCTCCAGGTAAGGCATCTCACTCAACATTTATCTAGGAGTATTTGGTCCACATATCACTGTGGTGAGTTTCACAGAGGATCCTCTGTTTTTTGTGAGTACATGCCATACTTTTAACATTAAAAATAAAATTTCTGCCTTACATTTTACCCCTTTTTAAGCTATAAAATATATAGAGCCTAGTTCAATATACTCCTAGGGATAAAAACATATTTGGGCATTTTTCTATTTACCTAATTCATGGCCAATAAACTCACATAATAAATTTTCAAGGAATAAAAAAATTCCTGGGGCCGGCCCCATGGCCTAGTGGTTAAGTTTGGCATGATCTGCTTTAGTGGCCCAGGTTTGGTTCCTGGGCTTGGACCTACACCCCTCATCAGCAGCCATGCTGTGGCGGTGACCCACATACAAAATAGAGGAAGACTGGCACAGATGTTAGCTCAGGGCAAGACCTCCTCAAGCAAAAAGAGGAAGATTGGCAACAGATGTTAGCTCAGGGCCAATCTTCCTCAGCAAAAGAAAAAAAAAATATCCTATCCTACTGATTATGCTTGCTTACTTATTTCAGCCTTAGAATTTAAGACTAAAACACAGTTTTGAAAATGGCATTTCCATTACCAGCTCAGCATTTCTGATGAGTACTGTGCAGATTCCAAACAGGACTCAATGCTTAGAACCTAAGAGATGATCATTTTCAGTCAATTTTGCAATCCATCAAAGAAGATTCTAGTCCCCTAGTGAGGCACCTCCCATTTTCTCATAACTATTTTGAGACTGTTCTGATTAAAATATCACCGCCTAAACAATTTGTTAAATACATGACAGATGCTTCTCCAATACTAATATAGGTCGGTTATGGATTCAAACCAGATTCTAATCAATTTATTTGAACTTGGTAATATCGGTCAGAGACATAGAAGAAAAGTGTAACCTCCCGAAAACACATTAGAGGCAGCAATTAAATTAATTCTCATTTCTCCCTTGGACATACACTTTCCCATCAAGTTACTAGTTGGCAACTATAATAAATACTTTTAAATATGTCTAATTAAAGAAAAGTCAATCTAGCTTATTTTTTTGGCAGGAATAAATACTCAATGCCATATATTCGATCCCAGGAATACTCATTTTCTCCCGGCAAATGCTCATAGATCAATGTGATCATATAAAAGAAGATTCAAAGGAAATTTGGACAAACAAGTAAGTCATTATTAAGCAATAAATGAAAACTGTCCCAAGTGGACTGACTTCAAAAAACAGTATATACGTATTTGTGTCACATTTAAGGACGCAGAAGTATTTCCACACTTCCAAGTGGGAAAAAAAAGTATTTTATATATTTAAACATTTGAAACACCCTGTAGCTGATGTTCAATTCACAGCAGAAAGTAAATACTAGTTTCCTCTCCACCTCACAAAATGAAGAGGTAGTCAAAAAGAATTTTCTTCCTGCCCTCCCCCAAGAAACTCCACTTCCTCTAATGTTTTGGGAATATTTTCTATCTTAATAGGTACTCATGTTACATTTATTCAAAAATGAGTCAAAGAAAAAAAATTCTGCAGGACTTCCTACCTTTCCTCTTTTATAATCTTCCAGTGGCATGGGAAAAAATATAGCTACTATGGTTTTTAATGTCTTTTTTTTTATGTACTTGGCTGCGACCTCATCTAAGAGTCAGCTAGAAGTTCTAATTGGTTTAAAACAAACGCTACTTTGAATTCTGTGTCCACAGCCATTGAGTCCCAGCCTTCAATATCCCTGATCTATAGACTAGTACAGTTGCTTCAGAAAATAAATGTTCAGACTAAAACTGTTGAAGAGCAGCATGAGACACCCAGGAGAGTGTAAAGAGGTTATCAGTCACATCAAAATTAACAGACATGTTCAACTAACATCCCCAACAGCCAACCCCTTACTGAACACAGAGAGTGCACACTGTGAGTTTGGTCGGTGCCTACAACCCACAAAGCTCTTTCCACAAGCCAAGCCAGTGGTTCCAAAGTGCCTTGTCTATACAGTCTGTTTATGTGGGTACCAGACTAAAAATGTGTGCTGTTGACATAACATTGGTCCTCCTGAGTTTTGCTAAGAGCTTGTCCACGGTCACTCAGAAAGCTGTCCGAAGATACTTCAATAGCCACTTCCGTGGTTTCTCCTCTCCCGAGGTTGTCATTTCGGTATGTATCTAGGGGGGCACTGCCATTGTGCTCAGCACAGCCGTTGACATGCGCCAGAGGTAGAGCCCTGGGGGGACAACACAGCTGCTTCTCACAGCTCTTGGAGATGCAGGGTGAACTGCAGAGCAACAAGTCCTGCTCCGGGGGCTCCTTCAAGTCCACCTTCTCGAACTGGATGGTTACATTGTGGATTCCCACTTTGTGGAAGATTTCTCGAATTTTTATACTGGCATCCTGATAGTCCGTGTCCTTCTGAAACTTGATGTGCAGGGTGGCAATGATCTTTCCACTTACAAGTTCCCAGACGTGCACTTCATGTACACCGCTGATTCCGGGCACGGCAGAGAGTTTACTGACTAGAATAGGGAAGAGCAAACAATATAACAATATAGCTATAACAATATAGCATTGACAATATAGCAAAGGGAGTGCTCTAATTGAAACATGGAACTACCACAGTACCTGTAAGCATTCTCACCAAAATGATGTATTTACTAAGAATAACAGGAAGAAAAAATAGCTGTACCTGGATGGGCACATTTTCCCATCATCTTCTTTCTCCTCTCTGAACTCCTATACCATACACTGTTAACTCATAAAAGGCAACTCAAGAAAATGAGTTTAACGACAACTGAAAAAATGTCCTGAGTCGCTGCGTTTACAAGAGAATGGACACCCTAGTGAACAGCCGGTGGGTGTATAAAGTAGGATGCCCTTTTTAAAGGGGGTAACTTGGCAACATGGATGGAAAACCTCGACCAGCAATTCTAGCACAAGGAATTAAATCTAAAGGAAATCACCAAATATTTATGTACAAGAATGGTTTGGGCAACACTCTCTGTATTAATGAAAAAAGGGAAACAACAAAGAAATAGTTAAATCTATTATATAATAGAATGTGATATAGCCATTAACAAGTAAGTTGCATATTTAAGGAGATGAGAAAAGGTATATAAGATATTTTTAGGTGAAAAAACAAATAGCTAAAATGTATATATGGCATGATCATTTTGCTTTTTTTTTTTTTTAAACATCAGTGTAGGGCCGGCCCGGTAGTGTAGTGGTTAAGTTCACATGCTCCGCTTTGGCGGCCCAGGGTTCACAGGTTCGGATCCCAGGCGCAGACCTATGCACTGCTCATCAAACCATGCTGTGGCAGGCATCCCATATATAAAATAGAGGAAGATGGGCACAGATGTTAGCTCAGAGCTAATCTTCCTCAGCAAAAACAGAACGACTGGCAACAGATGTTAGCTCAGGGCTAATCTTCCTCACCCAAAAAAATCAGTGTATGTACACACAAAAATTTTTTTAAGGCAGATAAAGGCTTGTTTTATTGAATGATTGATACAAAAATATTAAGAGTGATCATTTCTGGGGGGTAGGATTATGAGAAATTTCTATTTTCTTATTCGGCTCTTCTATATTTTCCATACTTTCCAAAATGAGTGTGTATTTAGAGAAATGGTACTAAATAGTGATTATGAGCAAAGACCCTGTAGGCAGCTGGAGTTTGAATCGCAATTCAGTCATTTTCTGTCTGTGTGACCTTGGACAACTTACCTAGCCCTTCTGTGCCTCAGTTTCCTTATCTGTCAATTAGGAATGAGAATGATAGTACCTCATAGGATTATTTCAAGGATTAAAATGAGTTAATATAAGTAAAGCACTTTAGAACAAGACCTAGCATGTAATAAGTGCCATAGAAGTGTTGCTATTGTTATTACTATTTTTTAATATCTTTTTAAACATATACATTATTTTGTTAAAAGGCAATATAAGCCAATATATATCACAAATTGCTTTGTGTATGATTTATCTTGTTTCCTCAACTGAGAAACAAGCTCCTAGATGGCGAAGACAATGTGTATATCTGCTCCTGAGTATCTCCTTCCCTACCTTCTCCCTCCTGTGCCTGCAGAATTGAGCAGAGTAGGTGAGCAGGCTGATTATTTTAACTCTGTACACTAAAGCAGCCAGAGAGCTGACCATAGCTAACTGACTCTCAGAGACTGTAAACTAACCAACGCTGCCAAAGAAGGCAAAAAGAGCATCCGGGGAAGGATCATAGGAAGAGCACCAGCTGTTGGCAATAGCTCAACCGACTGGTCCCCATGCTGCCATTACACAGATGGCTGGCAGGGCTCTAACCTTCAAAGAACAGTCACCCTGTACCTCACACCTTCATAGGGGCAAGTCTAGTCATGGCCAGATAACGTAATAGGACCCACTCAAATCTAGTTCCAGGTATTTGTCACGAAATAAGGTCTTCCAACTTTCAGCCTCACAGCTGGCCTCAGCTCTATTTCACGTTTACCGGCTCACTGGTGAAGCAATGATAGACAGAACAATAGCAAACATGCATGCAAAAGTTTTTTCTATAAAAACATAATCTCTATTTAGAAACCCTAGAAATAAATTTGCACATTCAGGTTCTCATCAACTTCTGGATAGTTCCCATTTAGAAATTCGACAGAGTCTCAAATTTTTATCCTCAGAGGCACCTAACTAAAGTGAGAGCTTGAGACCTTCTGTTTGAGCAAAGCAAAGAAACAGATTTCATTACTGAATGAGGTCGTGAATGATCTGAATTTAAAACGTGGTCCTTTTTACAGTGTTATAAGAGGCATGGTGACTTGCATGCTCATAAAAATCAATTAACTAGAAAGCAGGATCTAGAATATAAATTAATGATTCATGTTTTCAGAATAAGGAGAATAAAAATCAAGTGCTGGGTAAAGTGGCCTTATTTGAGTTAAAATAAATCTTTGACATGGAGGTAAATAGCCTAGGAATAGGCATTGCCCAAGTGCTACATTCTCAAAAATCTGCAGTTGTCAGAGAATGATGGGTTGCAAAGGACCTTTGGTCCTTGGAGCCGTGAGTCATCCTATTGGGCTATAAAACAGATGACGGATGTCTCTATTGCTTGCTCATTTAAAGTATTTAAGGATACATAAGTCAAACACTGCTCTGAAATAATGCTGGCCCTTTGGCCTGAAGAACATTAAATGGGCAGTGGTTCTAGATCAGAATTGTCTGACTTACTCAGCTCTTCAATGTTGACTCCCTTGGGGACCATCTGCAGCAGAATGACAGCGGTCTCCTTGATGAGTGGGAAGGCAGATGACAAAATGATGATGACCATGACTATAGACAGGCTGGGGTCAATGTAGCACTGCCAGTTACACGGGTCGTCAGTTTGCAGGGGAAGCACATAGAATATGACGGCCGTGATGACCACAATCACGGACCCCAGGGCATCTCCCATCACATGCAAAAGTACACCTGTCGGGAAGAAAGGAAGACCGCTAAAGCACAGATCCAAGTTGGGGAGCCACGCGACAGTCGGTGACTCAGGTTCCCAAGCCTATGAATACCTGTTGCTATTTGTTTTCTTTTTAGTTAAAACAGCAAGATGGATTTGAATGAAAAAAAAATGGCAACTGCTTCGCAGAAAACAAAACCCCAGGCCACCATACCAGGACCCAGAGAACCTGGAACAACCCGGGAGGATTGAGCTGCAGACACCTGTGGGAAGAGGGATTGTGCCCATTCACTGTGCCACATGGCTGCCACCCACCACCCATCCAAGGGCACCAAGCTGGCAAACAGAGGCTATGCAAATGGTTCCCTTTTCCTTCAGACAAGTGTCTGTGCTTTAAATTGTTTTCACCATTTTTAAGAGGAGATGGAACTAAAATATATCACAAGTTGGGCCGGCCCCGTGGCTTAGTGGTTAAGTGCTCGCACTCCGATGCTGGCAGCCCGGGTTCGGATCCCAGGCACGCACCAACGC